GTGTTTTGCTAGATAAACGATGAATTGTTTCAAAAATTCGATGGAATAATTAAACAGTTGGAAAAGTATTGCAATATCTGGCAGTAAGATATTTTATAAGCTGTTTCCTACAATTCGATTAGCTCCCAATAACTGTTTTGTCCGCATCGGTCAGAATAATATTTAACGTTGCGCTGAAAAGTTTTGGTAAACACCCTATCACAGTGAGGAATGTACAGAAGAAGCAACCTTTGATTATTTATGTCTGAAATTATTTTACAGATTGCATTACTTAAATAATGACCCTCGTTGGATAACTTTCTTCTATTAAAGATATTGGTGAAGAAACACTGAGTATTCATTTAATGTGATGATCAATAATAGCAAATAAGGGTTACTTCCAAGTGTTTTTGGGAATGTTGAATTGGAATACTGCTAAATTCAGTATAGAGAGTAATACAATGCCTATTTATGTTATTTCACCATTCATACACTCTGTAAAGTTTAAAAGTGATGAAATATAGTTACAATGATGAGAATTTTGTCAAATTCTGCATATCATATAGAAAATATCTGTATATATTTTATCAGAAGTTACGTATACGTCGACTGCTTCAAATTATTTGTCTTAACCAGTAATCGCATCAGACATTGGATGAAAAAGAATCATACATATAATATGACCGGATATTGAGAGTCTCACTAGTAATGAGATTCGAACATGTGATCTCAAGATGAGAAGTCTAATGCTAGATGTCCTAGCTTTAAAACTATGTCATTTAATTCACCGTATGTTCCTGTATATAGAAAACAACTATTGAATTCTAGAAATAATAATTGTTTGCACATGTAGATTCAGCATCTTGCATCAGAGAGGGGTTGTAAATTTTCAACAAGCGGTATAATATATATCCCAGGGAGCATTTGGTATTTTACTAGTTGTCCTAAAAAATCAAGAGTCAAAACTATTTTTTCTAAAAAGGAAAGTCATTAGTGTAATATTACATTTAAAATTTATATTACTTAATTACAACTTGGGTTTGTATGGTCGCTAATTTCTGCCATTTCGTTATTTCGTTTTGTCACGGCTGAAGGGGCGACAATGCGACATAACGAGAAATATGTATATTTTTCATATATATTTTAACTTGTATCTTTCTAGCGAGTACAAGCAGAAGTGTGGTTTATACATTTTTCCTGAGATTTTTTGCACTCACGTATAAACCGTAGACATGATTACATTCATGTGTCTTAAATTGCATTACTATTCTATGCAAAAAATGTGTGAAGAAATGGCCACCAGTTTGTAAAGACAGCAATATTTTGCTTTTTTACTTTTATATGGATTATCCATCTGATGTAGATTTATGCATAGTAAATTTACATGAAAAAGCATAATAAAACATCCCTAGATGAGTGATAAAAACCGTGGACCTTGCGGAGTCTTAGCCGCCCTCTCCCCTCGGTCTACATTCACCAAACCGCTACCACGGCTTTGTTTTCTGGACCTGTTTGGGTTCCTTACACCGCCCTCTAAACATCCACTGACTGCTAGAAAAAACCGGACCCTTTGCACAAGTATGCATCATTTTCATAATAAACAGATCTCACTAATGTATGCCTACGTACCCTCTTACCTGATTGCATGGAATCTTCCTTTGTTTGAACTGTCAAAAGCAATTCATCAATTTCTGTTTATAGGTATGATATGATTGTTTCAGTCGTCCGCACATATTCACCACAGATTGCACAATTTTAAACATTTATCTTTTTCCATTTTGCTTTAGATAAGAACGATTTATTAAGAGGGGTAAAATGGTAAGATTTTCATCTATTGAACTTTGATTTATTTTATCTATAATTTTTTGAAAAATATCTAAGTTACAGTTCTTTCTATCCCGGAAGTAATAGCAGACGACAATTCATCGTTTTTATAAATGTTAAGGTTATTTTATTTAATGATTTATATATTATATATATATCTATATATATAAATATACTTACATTAAAATATTTCATATGTTTTTGAATCTATGTTTGAAAGGCGTGCTCTAGCCTGAAACGTGAATATATCATTTATAGATATATAATACAATTTTTACCACATAAAAAAGTCACACAATGTTAAACTTTAACCACTGTCTTGACAGTTATGGATTTTGAAGAATTTTCGAAAGATACAACTTCAAATCAATAGTCATATATCTATAATACTGCGAAAAGCTTGGCAAAGAGTAGGCATCATGAGATCACTGCAATTTCTCCTTAACCGTTCAAGGTTGGAAAGAATGAATAATTATGTCTTTATCCGCTCCATACTTTAGTACGCCGATATTACATAAGATAACTCCTCGAACATGTTAAAAAATGAAATTGAAGCAGTTCAAAACCAGGCAGCAAGAATGGTAACAGGTGCAACACAATTATGCAATATAAGTAAATTACAAGACCTCAAATGGGATACCTTGGCCGAAAGGCGTAAACAACATTAACTAGTTTTATTCTTTAGAATCTACCATGGAATTACTCCAAACTATCTCTCTGATTTGATACCCCAGCACAATGAGTCCCACCTCAGAAATCTCAGACAAGTCTATTATCCAGTCTCCATTATGTTTATGTGACGAAATAGAGGCAGTGCATCACTTTTTCTTTTCATGCCCTTGTTATGACATCATCTGAAGCATGCATTTGCGTCCCCTTTCCATGTCCCCTGACACTTACCAATCTCTTGAACGAAGACGAGCGCCTGGGATTTAACACGAAGGAAAAAAAACATTCTTAAAGTTCAACAGTTTATTCTAGCTTCCAAACGTTTTACTAACGAATGTCAACTTTTTTCTGTCCATCACTTCCCGATAGTATTGTGTGCAGAAAAATTATATTCTCTATTCTTATCTTAACTCAAAACTTTACTAAATATCTTGTCACTTTTTTCTTCGAAACATTCTAAACAAAATCATCTGAAACATTTAACTTAAATTAAATACTTGTTTAAAACATTATTTTACTTTGTAATAGAAATTGTTTGGAGTTATCTCCCAATATTATGAAATTATCTGGAAACAGAAGTTTTCTTATTCTACGACTCTAGATAATAATGTCCTAAAAAAATTATTCATTTCAATTATTTATTTGATTTCCTTTTTCTGTATTATTCTTATAAATATATTTTTTATTACAAGTACCTTATGTGTGGAAAGGAATTTACATAAGTCACATTTGACTTGTTTTCCCATCCACGAAATATATCAGTGTGATTGTATATGCTGACTGTATATATTTATGTTGTAAAAATAGAAATAAAATTTTGTTTAAACTAGATAAATAGTCATAGACCATGTTAAACTATTAATAAGTCCATTTTGAAATTCGGTATCTATTTGCAGTATTAAAGCTGTCCTAACCGGGGCATAGATTTGTATCTCAATTTACATGTTACGCCCTAATAGTAACCGCTTACTCAAAAGTTATCAGAGGGAATGTTATTCTGTGGTTAAGTAAGTGTAACTTTACTGACTTATTAAGTTTCAATCAAGTATTGTACAGTAAAATGAAAACCATAGTTTTTGTTGTCATTACTTCATGATGGACATAATATCTATTTCTGCAGACTGAAAAAAGAGCCTGTAATTAATTGTTTAGCAAATTATTGCAATTTGTAACTTGGAAAATTAAGAAATTGTTAAAAACGTATATTTTACATACTTCTTACTATCTATTGTTATTTTGCTTTTTATCGCCAGAATTGGCAATAATTGTAGTCAAGGTGATTGCATAATGGTTGTGTCTGAAAACTGGCATTTTAACTAACTGACATGTAAAGAAACACATGTGAAAATCTGGACGTTCAGTATCTTAGATTTACAGATCTTACTTTGTAACGGTATTGGTGTTGTCAATGCTAATTTAAATAAAACAGATTTGTTATCGTCAAGAAAGATAAATGATGTTTCAAACTATGCAAATATATATTTAACGCGGAAATAAGAAAGAATTTTTCTTGTCTCGAGTAATTTAACTTCTCCCTTGTCATTTTTCTCTGTAGAAACGATATGTATACGTATTTTTTAAAGTAAAATTCATGATAAAACATGTTAAACATGTATCAAATATCGTTCGTTGTGCTTGTTTATGCAATAAACTACAGAATAATTAAAGAAAAATACAAAACAAAATCACAAATTACACAGTGCATTGTACAAAGATTCCCACTTTTAGATTTGGAAAACTAGTAAAAAAGTACTAAAACAAAATATGTCACAATCCCAAATTATGATGTCAAAGATATACGCTAGTCATACATGTGCATAAAAACTTTTTGCCTTTTAGAACTTTTACAGTTTACATTGACAAATACTTTACGTCTGTTTTGATGTGATAAATTAAGAAGGAAGCTGTTTATTGTCAAGCATGCAATGTATTACAAATAACGATTTGAATACTTCGTTACGTTATTGAGTTTTGTATAATTGAAAAAAGAAACCCCAATTTGTGTGTATTTGCGTTTATTGTTACTCGCCAACGGTTGCCCATATGGGCGAGTCCTCCAGAATAGTATTAGTCATTTCTTTTTTGGAGGATAGTGCAACTACAGATACAGAAAGATGCCCCAATTCCAGAAGCTTCTCCTGGTTCTTTAGTATTTAAGCACCCATACACGGGACCTCGATTTAAAGTCTCATCCGAAAGACTTATTTGTAATTTTAGTTGGCTAGCCCGGCAATCGAACCCACAATGTTCAGATTACAAGTCTCGCACTCTAACCGATTGAGCTATGCGGACTGGGCGAAAAACACCGAAATAAAAAAAACACATGGTTTTGCTCTATGCAATGTGAAAGTCATACGAATTATATGTCATGTTATTATAGTGTAACATAACTACATCTTACATAGCGGATGCATTATCTTAACCTAACCATGCAAAATTGAAGTAAGTAAACGCCTGAGTATACTCAGTATTTTATATATTATATAAAGATATGTCTCTGGTTTACATTTTTTCTACTCTCTTTTCAGAACTTCAAGGCGACCTAATTACATTCTACAGAAAAAGGTGTAGTTCAATACCTCTCTCACCGCTACTTGAAGAAAAAGAGACACCTTTAATTGGGTTCTACGTTATGCCAAATATGGTTGCCGTAAAGCAGAAGTCCCTCATATGTCATGAAGAGGAGAGAACACCGATCAAGTCTTTGGGTGATCTGTTCACAACTGGAAGTGAGGATCAGCAAGAAATTTATCTATTAGCTGATGCAGGCTATGGTAAAACTGCTTTTTCAAAATATCTTGCAATCACGTGGTGTCAAGCTCATCGTCAAGATAAACAATACGATGGTAATAAGTGTTTCAAGGATATTGAGTTAAAAGCTCTATCTAAGTTTGAGTTCTTATTTTTGGTTTTCTTAAGAGATCATACCTCTGTTTCTCACATTGACGATATGATTAGACAGCAATTTTCTTTGCATCTTCTTTCATTGAAATCACTAGATGAAATTTCATGTAGAGCAAAACTAAATGAGGTTTTAAGTAAAGAAAAATGCTTGATTATATTGGACGGTCTTGATGAATGGACTCATCCTGATTATAGCTGTTGTAATGAAGTAACAGAAAAAATCCCACATCGGTGTATACGTGATAATTGTGTTATCCTAACGACAACTCGCCCGTGGAAGCTTGGAGTTTCAAATCTCAAATCAAGTCAAATGGACAAAAAAGTAGAATTGGTTCAATTAAATGCAGACTCTACTCGGCAACTAGAATACAATGCTATAAGAAAAATGTCAGGTGTCAATAACGATGGAGAACTGCAGAGTAAAATACAGGAAATAAATAAAGTGATACGTGACCGACGCCTAGAGCACATGCAAGTGATTCCACTCCTCCTCATGTATATAGTTTGCCTATGGTGCAACAATATTCTTATAGGAAATTCAAAACATGAAGTTTACACCAATATCATTGAATTTCTATTATCAAGAACGTCAAAGAAACAGCCGGAAGTTAAACCATGTCGATATTCGCCTGCCCATGAAATTCCAGAATACTTCAAAAGTCACGAATTTTGTAAAAAGTTTTATAGTCTTATTAAATCATTAGCAGAACTAGCCTACCAAACCTTATTTGACGAAAACAGAGAAAACACGCTGGTATTTGATAGAACAGTTGCTGAAAAATATCTCAAAGCAGACGACATGAAATTCACCCTTCACTCAGGAATATTGTCAGAAAGTAGAAGTACAACTTTAATCAAAGGAATTATCAAAGTATCCTTTTCTCATAAAACAGTTCAAGAATTTTTTGCCGCTATATTTATAAGTTCTCAAAGTGACGCTCATAAAACTGTTGTAGAAAAATGTAGAAATATTCAAGACATTCTGGACATGTCAATAATTTGTGAATTTATAAGTAAAATGAATGCTGACCGGATGTGTGCAATATCAAATGATCTGATGTCTGTGATAAATAAAGACGAGGAAACACGCGACTATAGAACTAGGGGAAGAGTTGACAGTGACTCATTGTATAACATACAGGAAATGTTCATGTCGTGTTTACAAGAAATGCCTGAAAGTGAACATATTCAATTATGTTTACAAGATTTCTTCATTGACAAGCACACCGTGCACAGTGAGCAGTTACAATGTTTGATGAAACAAAATAAAACCAACATAAAATCACTTTCTATAAGCATTACTTCCAGCAGTTTACATGAAATTATAGATTTATTTTCTCTCACAGATCTCAGTCATATACAGAAACTTTACTATAATGGTAACTGGGAGAAGGCTGAGATACATCAGATATTGTTTCCCAGTTTACAGCACGTAACTTTGTTGTTATGTATATGGACAAATGATGAAGAAAATCTGAGTGATAACATGGCGCGATGTCAAAACTTACAATATTTGAAAATTTTCAGCCTCACGTTATCTCACAAATTACTGGATACTTTTTTCAAATTTATATCCGGTCAAAAATCAATGAAAGAGTTAACATTGAGGTATTTACAATGTAAAGAACATGGCGACCATGATTGTAAGAGATTGAACTTGAACTTGTCACAACATACAAAGTTTTACTTGCAGGGGTTGCCTAGGGGGCTACAATTAAATAAATCAACACCGTCATTAGTTGATGTTACGTTGAGGAGTACACATCTAGATGAAAGTTCATTGTTACTGTCAAGTGACATGTTGAATATTGAACGTGTGGAAAATAAAGCCAAGCAAAGCATTGACAACAAAAATAAACATTGTGAAATAAACTGAAGAAATTTATTCAATGATTTAAAATGAAAAAAGCAATTTAAATATGAACCTTTAGGAACAAATGGCGGCTCTTCGTAGATTAGGACATACATGTATTTAAGTTTTCAATTAATAAATTAAGTGACAATTGATTATAAATTAAACATTTAAATAATAGAAATAATTCAAGGAAGTTTTAACGGACCTTAACCCTTTCCCCCATGAGCATATTGTGAAAAATGGCCATTTTCACTGAAAAGCCTCCACTTACAAGTTCAAACTGCTATGAAACTATGAAAAATGCTTCAATACTAATTAAACTTGGCACAAATGTTGACTGGACCATTGCCTTTGTAACGACATGCTCAGTCTTAAATTTCCTGTTACCATGGCAACGAGGGGACATCTCATAATTGCCAAAAATCACTATTTTGCCTCGATTTTTTTCATCAAAATTTATTTCAAAGTGCTGCAACTTCTCAAAGGATTGAGATAGAGTCAAAGGCTTTTCAGCGTTGGTTACACGTTACCTTATGATCGACCTGGGGTCATTTTAAGCCTCTCACAAGTTCGAAATTTTCTTGGCGATGAGGGGGACTCCGCCCCACTTCAAACCCCCCAAACAGAAGGGGGCACATCCCCCTTCTGGCAACCCCCTGATGTATCTATTGGATGGGGGCGACGCCGAAAAGGTGCTCACTTTTTTAAGCAACATTTTTCAAACGAAAACATGTGTTTGGGGCCCAAATAGGACATTTTTACACTATTTCAGGCCTAAAAAAGGGGGGGTCGAAAGTGCGTTGTTTCGCGTATATATGAGGTAAAGGGTTAATGGATATAAATGTAGGATGAGGATGTGGAAATATTTACAGGTAAGTGACATTATATTGATTGTTTATTTTTTTTTTATTTCACTACACAAGCACATATGTAAGATTAACAGTGAACGACATTCTTATATTTACTTTTAATTAGACAAATATTTGATTTAGGCATATATAGCTCTAGATTAAAAGCTTTTTTATATTGCCTTCGTTTTTTTTTCTTGAAATAGATATTTTTTTATGATAAAAATGTCATTTTATCATCAGCTAAACGACTCTAGTATATACATGAATACGGTTAATTGAAATATACATTATCCGTTTAAGTCTCACTCATTTTATTAATTGTGTTTATTTTTGTTAGTTTAAACATTTTGATTGGTTTTCTTTTTTATTACCGAAAATATTGTTCTTTTTTGTCTTCTTCTTTGGTTGTTTTTATTGCAAGACTTTTATTACATGTCTCCTTTAATAACCCATACTTTATAATTATCTGATAACCAGTTTTTCTAAGTCCATTAAGGCTTAGTCTTTGATATTTGGCACGAAACATTGTCCATTGAACTTCTAACAAGTTTATACAAGTATAGACCTGAGGTTAAAGCAGCATGCCTCAAGATACATGTTAATTTTTATGAAAATTTTGAAATTTATATTGTAAGGTGAATAAATAAAGTAATTTACATATTGCAATCGGCACTTACAATCAAAGAAAATTACCAAGAAGTCGTCAACGTAATATTAAAGTAGCCCTTACTGCAAAATACTGCAAAATCAGTCTTTAACCGCACATAACATGAAAAAATAACTTGGACTTTGAATGTGTTAACCTTTCTTAACATTTTAGTACATTTTTCTCTATATTGATTTTCTTGAAATATTTTGACTTATCTGGAGGCGGGCAGCTTTAAAGTTGGCAAGGTCCCGTGGGCGTGGGGTGGGAATAGGTCCATATATATGGATTAGTAAAACTAACAAAAATTTGATACACAAAATCATTAAGTCTACTGTAAAGCTTAGAAATTTATATGAATTATTGTCCAGATGGCTTCAATAATATTTGTTGAAATTATAGCCAAGGGTCTAAATTGAACCTGTCTCGGGGTCATTACTTTTTTTTCAAAAGTATAAAGTGAAAATTCATCTGAAACAATCAAGGCTAAGGTCTTAGGGGGTCTTTTTCATATACATATAATATATGGATCTCTATTTCTAGATAATAGCTTTTCGGCCTCTTTTGCTGTAATAACATTCCATAGCAACCACTGATTTCTATAGCATCGTTTGACTTGGTAGTTATAAATGAATTTCATAGCAACATTGACCTTCCTTAGCAGAAAATGACTTTCATTGCAACCATTAATTTTCCATCGGATCAAGTTACTTCCATGGAAATATTCACTTTTTCACAGCTATTGTTATATTTCATATTAATTCTTGCCTGCCATAGCATCCATTAAAAAATAGGGACCTCCATTAAGCAATCATTGACTAGTTAAAGCAATCAATGATTTGCAAAATGTTCTTTGGATTAACTTTAATTTTACAAGCATTGACTCTCCTTAAGAACTAATGAAATCCATAGCAACAGGTGACTTAACAGGTGACTTTCCTTAGTAACCATTGATTTCCATAGCACCCACTAACTTCCATCGAAACCACAGACTTCCATAGCAACATGTAATTTTCATAGCAATCATAGAGATTCCATAGTAGCTATTGACTTATCATAAGCAAACATTGACTTAGTATTCATAGCAACCAGTAACTTCATAGCAAGAACTTACTTTATACCTGGCAAACATTGACTTCCATAGCAACGTTTGACTTTCCATCTTTGACTTTCATAACAACTACTGACTTACATAGAAACTATAAGTTTTGTATTATAGCCACCAGCCAGGCTTCAAAACAAATTTAATTATTTATTTCCTAAAACCAACCTGTTATTTCCATAGCTTTTAGTTAGTTTTCATAGCAACCAGTGACTTTCATATCAATCATTGACTTTTTATAGCAATAATTGTATTACATAGCAACAATTAATCTTGTTTGATGCCAATTACAACCTTTATAATTAGGTAAGCGATATAAGGGTAATCATTGCCCTTTCGTTCACAAACATTTAACTAGATAAAATAAGACCTTTCCTCATTTATAAGATAATAGCGTTAATCTTGTGTCTCATTTCTGGTTTCAGCGGCCTTGGATTAAACTTTCAAAATCTTTGTGATAAAGAATCTCTTATGACACTTTACTTATTAGGATTTGTGTTTTGATAGATCATTTTAATGAGATATGCTTTGAACAACTTCTTCTAAAAAATACAAAGGTAAGCATTTAGATTATCCTTATGATTGACAGCTTAATAAAATACAAAAAGAATAGACACTTCAACATTCGACCAATTATTGAAAGTATTTTTTGAGATAAAATATTGCAAACATTTTAAATTTTACTCAGAGATTTGTAACGGCAGTTCCAATACCACCAGGGTTTAAGACCTCTTAATAGAAGTATGGTAAAAGTTTACGGAAGGACCTTCCGCAGATTTACTAAGATATAAGCTCCGACCAAATAGTTTAATTCACTATTGCCCTACAAAAGGCCCGTTGTTGTGATCATCTGCTCATACTCAAGTATCAGTGTGTGCCAAAAAGTTTAATTCACTCGGCTGAAAACATGATATGGTTCTACTCAGGATGTCAGCCTGTTCCAAATAGTTAAATTCATACTCAGGATGTCAGCCTGTTCCAAATAGTTAAATTCACATAGCTGACAACATGACGTGGTTCTACTCAGATGTCAGCTCTTGCAAAATAGTTTAATTCATATAGATGACAACATGACTTGGTTCTACTCATATTTCAGCCCATGCCAAATAGTTTATTTATATGGCTGACAACAGGCAGTGATTGTTCTATAATGTCAGCCGTTGCTTATGATACTTACTGACAACATATGGCCTTACTAGGGTCTTTATGGCTTTATCATTCTATAAAGTTGACTGAATCTCCTTGTGCCTAAACAATTAAGGTGGACATGAATTTATTCATATTAAGGGCATTTATAATATTTTATATTCATATTTATATCACTTAATGGCAAATATTTTTACAAATGTAAATATAAACGCTTATGGCTTAAGTATAAGCCTGGTGTGTTAAATATGTAATACATTTACACATGTCACATACGTTAAATAAATAATTTACTCATTATGATTCAAATCACCTTGCGTACAGAAGCTATGTGAAGTTACCTTGGCAACCCGCCCTTGTGTCTGAAATCTAGCACGTGAAAAATCCAAGGGATTTCAATATACAATATAAGGCAAAAAACTAAACTGTCAACGGTTCACCTTGATTGCCTGAATTTCATCAAACACATAAAATATATAATTATTCTATAAAGTGTAAAAATCTACACTGTTACACAATTTTAGCAAAATTTTCAATTTATTCATATGTTTTTATTTTTTAGAAAATCATCTTCTGAATCAGTAAATCTACAAAGACAATGATGAATAGATAATTCAATATAATTATTTTATATGTGGTGCCTGACTTTACAGAAACATTCCCAAAAGAAAATTGGAAACTAAAAGTAATAAAAAACATTATATCACCAATTCCTTGTACGATCTTCAAGTTTCTGATTGGAACAAAAACAGACCATTCAACGTTTTGCATCGATTGTATTTAATATTCCTGTTTTCTTTAAGAAGAATTTACATCTAAAAAGAAAGCTTTCAAAGTCGCTGTAAAAAACTTACAAGTTCCTTCAATATTCTTAACTTGTACATTACACAAATACTTAAGAAAACACAATAAAACTTCTGTTTAAAAACTGTTTGTAATTAAAGTGAATTGGTCTACATTGTGCACATTTTCAATTAGTGTGTTTCAAAAAGTTATAACATCAAAAGAGATGTATCTTCTTGATATTCTTATGAAATTTTACTGAAAACAAATCATGATAGAGTTCTTAAAAGATTTAGTGTGTACACAATATATGATATTTTTTGTTCTAGAATACTTTATTATTATGTTATATATTGACAATATATTCAATATGACGACTTTACACCTGGGTCCTGTCTAAAGCCGCTGTCAAATATTTAAGAGTGTGTTTTTTTGTTGTTGTTTTTTTTTAAGGGCAGAGCTTTTTGTTTGTGAATTACACTTGCGCCTTTAGAAAACACAAATCAAATGAGACTTTAGTGTAAAAATAAACTTTTATATAATTAAAAAAATTATGACTGAATGTTTTTTATTCAATAAGATTATACTCGTATACTTATTTTGTTGAAGAATTGTTAGACAAAATGATGATATATGTCTTTAGTTTATCGATATTTCTTGCAAAACAAACATGTCTTATATTGTACATAGGTGATTAGCTTAGAAAGATGAATATAATGATCTGTCAAAATATAGGTCAATTTTTATGATAGTTTCACACTTTTTACTTTTTACAATAGTGACAAAATTTGAAATGTTAAAAAGATTTTTACAGGTTACATGACCTAGATTATAGCTCACAGGATATATAGAAATCATTTTCTCGGACCTTTTCATTAAAGTAGCAGTACTTATTATTATGGATTTCGAAACCGAAAATATGTCTACCACTGAACATTAATTCTGATTTGTTTACATTTGTACATGAGATGCCATTTTTAATTTGATTATTATCATCAGGCATTGTCTTAATAATAATGTTACCGAAAGAGAATTTATTTTAAGTTGGATGTATTAATTATAATTACATTTGTTATACAATTTCAAAGATTACACTCTCTGTTTTTGTATAATAAAAATGTTTAAATCCATTTGGTTGAACTACTACTTTCAGTCCATATTGCGTTCGAGGATAATTTATAATGAATAATATCCGAGGTGTGCCGATTGGCTATATAGCAAAAACTTTTGTTAGGCGATCATATAACCTGTCAAAATTTTTCATAAGGAACCTTATAAAAAGAAGAATAAAATGTGTACATAATATAATTGTGAATCAATATTTTGCTTATCAATGTTGAACTAGTCAGATTAAATGTTGTTGTTGATTTTTTCGCTCTAATATAAACAGATGTTGATAGTTATTTATGATTTCATACCATTTTTGTGTTCAAGTGACTGTTTATCTTATTGCCAAACTTTTATGATTATATGTATATATTCAGGGAACAGAAAACAGAAAATGGCATGTATATAACATACCTTAGTATATAATGTAGTAAAAAAAAGTTATATATATATATATCATACTGCCATATTGCATTCTTTGATTAAGATTGAAAATACAATTTTGGAATGCTTCAGACATGTACATAGACAACTGAATGAGTTTGAATTTATTGAATGAGATGAATGAAATAATATTATGCAAGCCACTGACATTTTAGTCCGGGAGTGCAATTCATTTTAGTTGTAAGCATTCATGAATAAGAAATTCCGTGAACATGCAAATATGAAAACTAGTAGAAAGAGTTTAAACAGAAGTTAATTACCCTTTTCTTTGAAACGCCTCTAGTTTTACGGAAACTTCGAGCTTTCGGGTTGTTACTAATAAAAATTACGTTACCGAGCTTTTAGGAATGAAAATGCCGTAATGTTGCAGTCAATTTTTTTATTGAATTGTTAAATTTCACTATTGCGCTGTACTTCATGTGAAAAATATATTGTAGATAATATACTTTACATAAACGTCAAAATTGAAAATGGAAAATTTGCATACTAAAGTGCAGTATAATATACAAACTATATACATGTACTGTATATATTATGAGTTATTATATAACTAGTTTTTTATTTACATTTGGCTGAACATAATTATATTAAAGCTTATCTTGCAAAGTATATTAAATGTTTTTTATATCTATAAAAGTTTGTTTTGTATAACTATGCATATAATTGTACAAATTTGTACATATTCTATCATTCTCCATATACATAGTCAGCTTTGAATTTATTCCTTAGAAGTAGAGAAAGTTGCCACTTAATATGACGAAGAATTGAATATGACGTCATTTTATTGACATGTAAATCAATGCATTATCATTATTAATGTAAAGTGTAGGAATTTACTCATACTTTCACATTTACATTTGAACTATTTCAAGTTTCGGATTGTTCAGCTTGGCATTGTGAATTGTGCATATAGATTATTGTTTGGAATCTTTCTAATTAATTACTAAAGTCGGCTGACGCTGTAATTAATTTATTCTTGTACATATCTTAGTATGAATACACAAAGTTTATTATAGCTATATATGGATTATATTAATGTCATTTATTTTTTGTTGATAACTGTACATATATTTACATATAAAATGTATTTTTCATTCTGCCAAACTTTAAAGCGACACGCCTTAATATAAGTATAGTTTTCAAATAATGAAACTAACCAGAACAGGTGAAGGATTTAGATATGCATAAATGCTTACAAGCCATTGCACGTTTGTACCTCATGTATGCTTTATTAAAATAAAATCCCCATTTTTATCAATATTTTGGTCTAGACATACATCTAGTTATACAAAAATCTTGCAAAAATATTTTCGGTCCCTTCACGTCAAAAAACCTAAGTGGAGTCCCTTCAAGTTTTTTTTTTCATGAAAAAATATGAATATACAGGCGTGTCGCTTAAATATATTTACTTGGATTAAAATATGATTTTTTTGTAGCTTTTATTTACCTGTAAGAAAAGTATTAATCTTCAGGTATAATGCTTTAATATTATTTACTCTTTTCTGTGCCATTTTTTCTCTAAAATGTTGAACAAACAGACAAAACATTTAAGGATGTTAACTTAAATTTAAGCATTTACTTCTCAGAAAGAAATTATAAATCTACATACAAGTCGCTTTAATAAATTCTCTCGGAAATTTTTATGAATTTTTGAAGTCTTTAGTTGTTATTTATAAAAGGTATGAATCTACAAGATTATTTCTTTAATATTTTACTTGCTAGAAATACTTTTTTGAAACAAGAACATTATGAATAAGAAATTATATTAAAGTATTTTGAATGTTCTATATATGGAAAGGTTTCTCTATATATCTATGTATATCAATTCACAAATTTGTACATAATCTATCATTATTCCTATACATTGTCAGCTTTGAAGTCATTTTCTAGAAGTAGAGAATGTCGCCACGCCTTTACGTCATTTGATATAAAATAAAATATGACATCATTTTAGTGACA